CGCCTATTCGGCTCTATTCACTCCACAACCTCTTCAGCATCGCTGCACTAATCGATTTGCAACAATCGCCAACCCAACCCCTATCCCGTTTAATAAACTATAAACCGCTTATGATAACCTAAATCAATGTAGGTAAAGAAGGGATCTTATACGATCTTGTCCTCAATCTAGCAAATATGGATCAAATTGATATCATCACGATCCAGGAGTTATATATATACAAAGATACCTCAAGAAAAATCACCAAAACTTACCCCTCCTACAAAATCTTCACTTTATTAGACGATTGAAAGGAAAACCCTCATGTCCTCACCTATATCAAAAAAGAAATAGGAATTCAGATCAACCAGATCAAACCGATAATCTCCAAAGACCTAATATTTATACAATTAATATCTACAAATAATACAATATTTACTATTATAAATATTTACAATACTTCAATACAATGCACAGATAGCAATCAAACCATCAAGGCATTCTTTGAACTCCAAAACTTCCTAAACAACGCCATCCTACTAGGCGACTTCAACCTCCATCACCCCAACTGGAATCCCCTCTATCCATCCCTTTCAACGCTAGCCGAACCCTTTGTAGAATAATCAAACTCCCGGAATCTACACCTCATCTCCCTAATCGGAACTCCTACTCACTCAAAGGGAAACGTTTTGGACCTCACCTTCCTCTCAAGGCCCTATACAGCGTATACCGCCCTCGCTGAACAACTAGAGTGCACCTCAGATCACAGCACCCTAAAAACCTATCTTCACTGGAATTACCGAAGCCAAAAGCCTGCAAAGAAACTCAAGCTAAATACATTGAATGAAACGCTCTTTAAAGACCTACTAGAAACTAATCTCACCAACATTGCAGTTATCCCCAGGACACCCTCTCTAAGAGACCTAGATCAAGCCGCATTATCCCTTACACAAGCCCTTATAAAAGCCTATACAGGATCTGCAAGAAGATCCATAAACAAGCCTCTTCAACAATCTTGGTAGAACAAGGACTATATAAAGACTATATATAAACATAGAATCATCAATATACCTACATCCAAACACTCTCTTCGGAAAACAATCCGAAAAGCAAAACACACCTTCTATATTACGAAAGTGGATAAAGTAGAAGATATAAACGATATATATCGAATAACCAAATAACATCAATCCACAGGAATATACCGTACCCCCCCTTTAGCAGATCTATCAAAACAAACCATTGCAAATACTATCGAAGAGAAAAGGGAAACCTTCGCCAACAACCTACTGACAAACCTAGCCGAGGTTGACGACATCCCGTTCGATACCCCTACAGCCCCAAGCAGATCTATCACCTTCCCTGATATAGCTATACAAGATATAGAGCTGGCCATTTTAAAAGCAGGGAACACAGCACCTGGCGCAGACGAAATCCCAACAAAAATCCTACAAGTCGCATGGCTACAGATAAAAGAAGTAACCCTATCCCTTTTCAAAGGCTGTCTACACCTAGGACACCACCCAAAATGCTTCCGATTAGCTACCATCGTAATCATCCCTAAACCCAACAAGTCAGATTATACCAACCCAAGATCATACCGACCAATTGCCTTGCTCTCGGTCCTAGGCAAAGGCCTCGAAAGACTCATTACAAAGAAGGTATCATGGCTTGCTCTAAACTACCAAGTCCTAGCGAACCAGCAGTTTGGAGCTCTACTCTTGCAATCCTCAGTGGACCTTACCACTTGCGTTACATATAACATTGAGGCATCCTTAAAACAAGGGTTAAAGACTACCCTGCTCACAATGGATGTAAAAGGTGCTTTTGACACAGTGCTACCAGGAAGACTAGTGAATCGTCTTCGGGAACAAGGATGGCCAAACAACCTGGTTAGATGGGTTCAGTCTTTCGCCACTAATCGATCTATCAAGATCCGATTAGACGGTGAGACTGGCCCGGAAACAAAGCTAGAATGCGGTCTTCCTCAAGGTTCATCGATCTCCCCGATTCTGTTCATACTCTACATCGCGTCTCTCTTCTGGATAGGCAAATCACAAAGCAGATTCGGATATACAGACAATATTGCGATACTAGCGATATCAAACTCACTATAGACAAACTGCGATTCTTTAAAAATGGATATGCAAGAAACTCTCAAATAGGGAAAAACCGAAGGTATCACTTTTGACCCCAAGAAATCTGAGCTTATACACTTCTATAAAGGACATCGAATATTAACGGATACCTCTACAATACACACCGGATCTATAAATATAAAGGTCAAACCTGGCCCGCTCAAATGGCTTGGAGTCCACTTCGATAGGAAATTATACTTCAAACCACATATCCAGATCCTTGCAACCAAAGCCCTCAAGGGAGCCAATGCATTGAGATCCCTTAGTAATATATATTGAGGGATACCCCTATATCTCATCAGGAAAGTGGTTGAAGCCTGTATACTCAAAAAGTGCTATTTCGCCTCGGAAACATAGTGGTCAGGCCGAATTAGAATAAAGAAGAATGCCCTAAACAACCCGATCTCGATCTCAAATGTAGTGGACAGCTATCTAAGCTTACTCAACAAAGTAGTAATCACCTGTACAAAGGCAATCCTCCCAATATACAAAACCACAAATACAGCAGTACTCTACGAGGAAGCCAAACTCAGACCATCCGAGATCGAGCTAAACCTGATTTCACAATTATATGCGGTACGAACCACCAGACTAGACCTTTACCATCCTCTCAGGATCAGAGCAGAGAATATAATCAAAGCCAGAGAATATAACTATACCCCAGATACAAGATTCGCAAGGTTCATCACAGCATTACCGGAGACTGAACACATAAACCCCTTGGCCTTCCCACCCTGGGAAATCAGAGAGTCGAGGGCAGAGGCCGAGGCCTGTATCAATGGTCTGATGGGCAGAACGAAGGCACAAGCAGCCGAAGACTTCAAAGCCTTCCACGCCAAGATCCTAAGAAGCGATATACAAATCTTCTCGGATGGCTCAAAAAGTGAAAGCAAGGATGGTGCAATTGGGGGCGGATTCGTAATCTTACAATTCGATATTCAGATAGTATATCATTCTTTCTCATTAGGCACAAATGTAGAAGTGTTCAATGTAGAAGCCACAGCCGCAGTAGCAGGGGTAGCAAAAGCCCTCACTCTAGCATCAACCAAACTGGCCACAGATCTCTAGATCTTCTTAGACAACTACAAAGCTGCTCTCCAATTAGGATCCCACTTCAATAGTTCCTCACAGAGAGTCTTTGAAGACTTTCTGAAGCTCACACAAGCTTGGGCTGTTAGACCAAGACTCCTACACACCTCCCCCGGGAAAATCCGTGTCCGATGGGTCCCAGGGCACCTGGATATCCCTGGCAACGAAATAGCTGACAAAGCCGCTAAGGAAGGAACAAAACTCCCCTTTCCCCTCAACCCGATCTATACGCTAGCATCCCTAAAAAGAATGATCAGAACAAAGGCCAACAAAGCAGACGAACAATTATGGAATACAGTCAGCCCACAATACTACAAAGATCTCCAATTCAACCATACTTCTAATACAGACACCCTCTCTCTGAAGAGAGCTACACTCCACTATATTCTCGCTATTAGATCACAGTATAGCGACTTCGCAATATACTATGAATGCTTCAATCACATTACAGCCTATGTTTATTGCTTGTGCAATAAAAGGAAAACTCCATTACACTTTTTCTTTTGCAAAAAAGGAAAAGCCTTCAAAGCGCTCACAAAGAGCCCCCCCTCCGAAGCTATCCCCTGGCTTCTAAGAAATCCCACCGGTATAGCCAAACTAGCCGAATGACTAGAATACACCAAGTTCTACACAAAAATCTGCCCGTGGCACACAGGTGCAAGATAAAAAATAAATAAAAAAATAAAAAATAAAAAAAAATAAAAAAAAAGAACTTTCTTTCTTTCATTGGATTCAAACGGAGTTAATAGGTCTCTAAGGGTGCTTTTCCTTCCTCTTCTTTCCTCTCTTTCATCTTTCCCTTTTCTTTCATTAAAAAAAAAAAAAAAAAAAAACAAGTATGCATACGAACAACCAAAACAAGTACGAGGAGACAGGGAGAGAGATCAAGAGGTAGTGATCTAGTGGACGAGGATGACCACAATTACAACCCCAAAAGGCCTACCGGCCCAAACCCCCCCTGCGAAGGCAATCATGTAAACCCTGCCCTAGCCCCCTTTAAATTGTATAAAAATACTCCCCCTAGCTAGCTAGTAAACCATTCAGAGGCTTCTCCTCTGAGCGTCATTTGTCCAAAACTGGAATAGATGGCTAAGGTTATCACGCGCCAAGGCGCGTGGGCCTACGGCCTATGACGATAAACACAATCAATCAATCAATCAATCGCTACTCTTGTTTTCCTTCTTCTTTTCTCCTTAGCTTAGTATTTTCTAATACAAGATACTCTACCCAGTATTCTTGAGTGTGACAATCGCCACGGATGTTGAGTAAGTAGGTAAATAGATAATTAGATAAAAATCACAATTTTTGGTGTAAAAAGATGGTCCAAAAGAGGGGTGGTCCAAAAATGAGGTACTAGACTTATACAACGAACGACAAAGCCATCTCCCTTCGATTTGGGAACATAGAGTAGGGGTAGCAAATACAATGAATATAAGCACCCATTCTACTATGAAAACACACATTAGGAAGTAAACCTAAAAAGGTATATCTTCTGAATTTCAATTCTCATTCTTACTTTTTCCTCAAACATCTCCAAATACAGCCACGATGCTATCTGCATAATTAACTACATCTCATAAACCAACCAGCTACAACCCTACCTAGCACTTCACCAATGGTATCACAAAATCCCCATTATTCCCCCTTCATATCACCTCTCCGAGCTCCTTTCCCATCATCTCAAACCACAAGCCATACTCTACTCTCCCATTACCCACCTAACAAAATCAAAAGTATAACATAATCAAACTAACCCCATCCCTCTCTACCCCCACTATCCCCGCATCTATCCATATCCACATTCACATGCAAATCCAAATCGCTAACAACCTTCCCCAATTTTCATCCACTTCCCCTCGCACCATCTCATCCCCCCTCAAACATCACGAGATGCAAAAACGCAGAACAGAAATCATGAATGGTATCTCAAAAAAAAGGTAAAACATCCGCGAATAATAAACAAAAGAAAAACTTCCGAAAAAGGTATATCGAATAGGACGTGATCGGACCGGATTATATGCGCTGCAATAATCAAGACCGAATCTGGAATATCAAAAAAGGCTGTGGTTGTGTTGTGTGTAAAAATTATCGGAGAATAGAATGTAGATGTGATGAACCATAAGGAAATTGAGGTCATTTTGGTTGAAGACGCTGAGAAGGGCGTCTTCGAGTAATATTCTAGTCATAGGTGGTTATGACAAAGGTACCGGTGTCGATATTTGACATAGGACTAGAATATCTATAGAGGTTTTCTTCGAATAGGAGGAGGAGTAGATGAGTTATTGTTCTCCATATTACCGGTAAGTTCAGCTACACGAGCTTTAATACGTGCAACTCGAGATTCAATCGCTGGATTCATTAGTAAATCTCAACATGATGAAGTTATAGAAGGTGAATACTCACTCTCTTCACCTGAAGTTTCTCCATCATCATTATCAGTTGGCTGACTATATCCACCTCTAGATTGTTCCTCACTTTCTCTATTTGATGCTGCTTGCACGGCAGCATTCTTACGAATTTGTGCCCATCTATCTTGAGGAGAGGTTGGTTGCATGAGTGCTTCATCTTGAGATTTTTTAGCTTCTTCATTTCGGTTTCTTGCAATGTTAGGGGGAGATGCAGAATCTTCACTTCCCCTTGGCGTATCTGATTCGGCTGTTGGAACAAATGCTGGGAAATCTTCGAGAGGTCCTTGATCAAATCTGGAGAATTCTTGAGTAGCTTCTCGAGCATCCTCAGTATCAACTCTAGAAATATCGTCTTGATCAATAGAGTGTTCAGAAGAAGGACGACGAGGAGTGACTGGTGTAGCCGGTGTAAGAGGAGTTCGTTCACCAGATGACATTGGAGGAGCTGGTGAAACAAATCCATCACCTCCTTCACTACTAGGTGACATGAGTGGGCTCTTTCTTCTCGAAAATCGTCTAGTGAGACTGTTCCTTTTACTTTCAGGCTTAAGTCCACCTTTACCATTCATTGCTACTTCAGAAGCATTTGGTGGTGCAGCTCTTGGTTGCTTTCCCTTCCTCCCAAACATACCCCTGAATCCATTACCGGCAGCAGGATCTTTCTTCTTGAATCCTTGATTCTGATCCTGAATTTCTGGGCTTGAGCCCGAAAAATCCAAAGAAGCTCTTGAGATATCCATACTTGGCTTATTTTGATTCAAAGGAGACATTGGAACGGGTTTTCTTTGAAGTGGGTGAATATCACTTGGTGAAACGGGAGATTTCGCCTCTCCAGTTTCCTTGTCCGGCAAAGGTGGTAAAGGCGATGAAGATTGAATTGGAGTAGTTGGAGTGGGAGGCAGATCTCTGTTGATATTAATACCTGGTGATAAAGCCGCTTGACGATCATATGAGCTTCCATTTGTCTCCGTAACAGCTTCTCCAAGGCCACGTCCCGTGAAGCCACTACCAAGATATGCTTCCCGAACTGCATCCTTATCGTATTTATTGGCCCATTTCATTGCTGGTGAAGCTTCTGATTTGAGCATTGGTTGAAGTGTAAAGACACTGTTTGTCTTTAACGAATCTGCATCCAAATCATTTCTTCCACGTCGAAGCGCTAATCCTTTTTCCTCATCCAGCTTTCTCTGCCTTTGTTGTAACTGAATTGCTGCCGCTTGAATCCGAGCATGTTGATCAGGACCTATGGTAGTCTTACTAGCGCTCGTACTTTGAGTGTATCCGGGTTTTAAATTGTTCGGTTTCTCCGATTCTGTTTTGCCAGTAGATCCTCGTCGTTTTGCACTATTCTTATTCTTCCTCGTTCGACCCCAAAAGCTCTTTTTCTCCGCAATATAAGCACCCGCCTCAGGCTCTGGTGCAGCACCTTTCACCATTTCCTCCATTAACAGCCAACGACCACCAGGAATTGTCGTCTCGATCAAAGCGCAGCGTCCAAATGAAGCCTTTCTGTCCACTGTCTCCTCACCAGCCAAACTACTTATCCAAACCCACCAGAACGAATCATCCAAGTCAAATCGAGTAATGCTTGCAAGCTCACCCGGTTCCAAGTCTTTATTTGATTCAAGTCTAGGTTGATGCGATTGCGAGCTTCCTGCCCTGGTATTAATCGGTGGTAAAATCTTGTCAGGTGGTAATAATAAAGGCGGAGGACTAGTTGTTCCATCATCAGTAAATCCAGAAGAGAGGAAATCCGCCCAGGATGGTGTAGTTGGCCTATCACCAGATTTAACCACGGCATTTGCTGGAGTGTTTCTTAGTCCTTGTACCGGTTTTGGTTTTCCCGGTGCCAAAAAACCATTGTCATCGCCAGCCCTGTCATCAAAAGTTGCAGAAAACCCAACATCCTCGAATCTTGACCAAGAAGCATCTGGTAAACCGGTGGAGTCTTGAGAATTTGATATTTGTGATTGATTCGTGGAAGAAATTGATCTCAAAACACGACGACATTCATCAGTTAAAGCCCTTACAGGATCCTCATATTCGGAGAATTGCTGTAAAGCGCGGTCATCGTCTCGATATTGAAAGTGATTCGCTCTTCGTAATAATGCAAATGGTGTAGGTGAAACAGAATTCACTATCATTACCACTTTCATAGTTGATTGTTGTAATAGCGAAGGATGTTCTGGCGGGTATTCGGTTTCTTGGACAAGCTTCTGTAGGGACATGGGCAATTTAGATATACCGCTCATACCTCGAACAGATTCGGGGGAGAGTGATCGAAGATAGGCGAAGAATAGATGACTTGCAGCATCAGCCGCACTATATATTGTTAGCACATTTGTTTGATTTGTCAGATAATTTTACCCACGTTGACCATCCTTTATATCCACCCTCAAATCCATTACCTGTATCAACATGATCGAAAGCCCACCATCCCGCATATCTTGATAATTTGCGTCCAGCTAAACCATTTAATTTTCCATGTGCTGCAATTGCTGATAAGAGGTCAAAGAAATCAAAAATGATATCTCTTCTCGCATCAGATTCGACACTCAAAGGTATAAAAGTCACAAACGCGTCTCGGGCATAATTTGAGTCTGGTAGAGTTAGCCATGATTACCTTCCCTTCTGACACCCAATTTCCTACCATGCTCTCCAACTTTAAATAATTCATATGCGTCCCAAGAAACTACACCACCAACCATTCGACTCCAACACCATTTAAGCACACTGCATAGCACCTAATTGATATTAGTTATTTATTCTGCTCCAGAGGCCAATCTCACAGCTCACCATAGGTTCCGTGAGTCTTAGTTCTTGAGCCAACATCTCCCGACTCAATTGTCTCTTATCGAAGAAATTCCTAATGAACGTTCTTGCCGCGCTCGGATCTGAGGTAGGTCGGAATGGAAGTAGAAGGAATGGCATGTCCAAAGCTGCATTGACCAAAAACAAATTAGCATGTGTAACATGGAGAAATCCATAGTAAATCCTTCCTAGGCTTCGTGCATAATCGATAACGGAATGATATCAATTTTGAATGATTTCATACCTCTTGATTTTAATTCCACGGTACATCCCCTCACCAGTTCTTGAATCTCTTCTGGTTCTACCGTAGTTCTTGTCCATGCATCTGTCCATGTTGGCTTCGCTGGTGCTTGATCACTAAGATCATCCAGTCCTCCCTTCTTCTTGGACGCTTTTGTTGGGCCATCTTTACCCTTTAACCTTGAGAAGAAACTCGGCATGATGGCGACAAAGAGTTGAGAGAATTATCGATATCGCAGAGCATGAAATTCTTATTAGTTATGTAAAATACATTCGAAACTCGAGTATGTTTGTTGAAAATTTAGAGGATGGATCAGATATGATGTCTTGTGTCAGAATCGCGCTCCGTCGGATAAGAATTTAATTAGAGGGAAAGATGTTTGGGTAGGTAGGTAGGTAGGTAGGGTGGATAGAAGAAATTGAAGAATGGGTCGATTTTAAAAGACGCCGTATTGTGAATGTGAAGACAGAAATGAGTGGATGAAATTATTTTAATGAATGAATGTGTGTGAGGGAGAGGGAGGAGAGAGAGAGAGGGTGATGAGTACAGTATGTATGAGTTTGTCTTTAATTCTCCAACCACGTTATTCGCGCGGAGGGGAAGAATATCTTTTTTTTTTTTTAAGCTTTCAAAAGTAAACCCAATAGGATGTATGAATGAATTGAATGGGCTGATATGATTTCCCTTCTCAATCAATCAAAATAGTGAAATTGAAGATGGGATAAAAATTAAAGGGGATTCTTGATACAGCTGGAGCACCACCAGTCCACAACAGAGTTAACTTTTTTGGAGCAAATAGACTGACTGACTGACTGACCCAGCTGAGCATAGTAAAGTAAAGTAAAGTAAAGGAAAGTAAAGTAAATCTATCCATCCATCCATCAATCAATCAATTTAAATTTCAGGGGTCATTAATTGGCTTGAGTGAATGATCCGTGCGTTTTATTATCGATACTAGACTAGGGAGTTGGAGTTAGCCTGTTAGGTATCAGTGAGTGAAAGTCTCGGCCAACGGTATCCATCAATTAGGTTAACCAGTGATCTTATAACATTTGTATGGTGTTTGGATCCTATTCACATTTTGATATCTCATTCGTTCTCATTTTCTACATCCAAGCTTCTACGCCGTATATCATTTATTAAAGGGTGACATCATGGCTCGAATATTGAGCATCAGGCTGGCTGTACTCAAAAGGCTTGTTGATTGTTCGTGTTGATAATTTTATATTGATTAAATGTTATACAAATACTAGGTGCGATCGATATAGGTGGTTCTAGATACAAAAGTTACCATATGTAGTATTTGATATTCGTGCATTCTCTAGTTCCTTAGTGCATGGGAGATAAATACCTAGTAGATAGATTAGATCAATGCTAAGGTTAAGGATCTTGGGATGAAGGATGGAAGATCTCAATGAAGATGTTGTTCTATTTGCTGTGATTGATGTCATATTGCTTCAATATCTACTACTACTACCTATTACTATTCAAGATCAAAGGATAAAGATTTAACAATTACATCAATCGAGGTATAATTATTCCCAATTATGATCATGCACCAAAGACGATTAAAACCAAAACCTGAACGGCAACTCACTCAAACAATTCTCAACACAATTAACAACTCCCAGCTAGCCATCATCCAAAAAGAAATCAAATCTTCATTCATACCCAAGCAAAGAACTCTATCGAAACCGCTGATCCCCTCCTATCCAAAACCAGCATAAAGAACTACAACCCCAGATCACATTTCGCAACCTCGTGAACTCCCCCCAAGTAGCTTTCCGTACTTGTGATGTATAAACCCTCATTCTATATATAAAAGTCGTCTCCGCCACAGCCATGAATAACCAACCAACCCTATGAGAACAATCCACCAACAATTTTTCATCCTAACTGTGTGTGACACCCATGTTGACTCAAGTCAGTCCCGCATGAGCTGCCTTTGCCAACGCATGTAAGTGGAATGGAAGTTTTTACTTGCCCATGTGCTAAGGTTGGATCATCAAGGATTCAAGCTTATTCAAAAACTATCTTTTAATTCAAACATCATCGTCATCTGTTGTAGGTATATGTAGAACAAATTCATAGGATACCTATATAATACCTAGGCTAGGTATGATGCAATAAATATACAGAATTAGAATACCTATATCAATCAATCTATATAATTCACTCCTATAAAATCATTCGATTACCAGGTAAATAGACAAATGAATAAACAAATAAATAAACAAATACTCAACTTACCTTTCACGCATCAAAAGCATACATAATCTAATTTCCAGAAATTAATCATTCATTCCCTCATTCATTCATTCATGTACTCCGTACAACCCATCCCCACCACAATCCACCCCACTAGATCTAAATTCTTACAGACCAAAACACCAAAACTACCTACCTACCTACCTACACCACATACAGCATTCAAACACAACGCACGAGCCCATCAACGACTTGCAATGAATCAATTCATGACATGGATGTTAAACCTTATATACTTACCTACCTAGTATTCATATTCATGCAGCAGGGCTTGCATTTCACACATTTCATACTTGCATTTCACGCATTTCACACATTCCACACATTTCATGCATCAAAGCCGGTAATTCTTCAGATGAAAACTTAGACCTTTTTTACTCTTTTACTTTATCTTATTTATAGGTTATCAAGCTTTCGATTTCTAATACCTAGATATCAAAAGTCTTTGTAAGATACGAAAATTATCCCGAGAATCTATCTCTCCTGGCTCTTCTCTTGAAATTGTAAATTATAAAATGATGATCTTTATCTATTTATCGACCATGTTTGAATCAAGACTATGGAGTATTTACCAAAACTAAGATCTTACAAATAAGTACCCGTCCTCATATTGAATGAACTATTGGGTTATTGAGCTGAAAACTAAATACTAGGTACCTCTTTGCTTATTTTTGTTCTCTTTTTTTTTTTTACATTACCTCGTTCATTACTTATTATTTACTTTTACTTTATTCCATTTCTATCTATCTATCCATCTACATACTCACCTAGTATTTATCAACTATCTACCAACCATCTATCCCTAGTCTACCCCCAGACTCCTAACAGTAAGTACAATACCGTACCCATCAAAAACCCATCAAAACCGACCCAGATCTCCATGCGATAGGCGGAGTCATCGAATATAAACTCGAACCCTACAAGGCTCACTGAGGCAGACACGGCAGGAATTTCCAGCAATTCAAGCACATGAATTATAAATGAATTTTATAGTCTTTGTAATAAATATTTATAATATTTCTAAAATAGGATTGGGGAATTGTATATATATACTGTATGTGATACTTAATATTCAATTCGCCTTTCGTCGGCTCAGACTCCGAGAGACTATATGATGATTTATTTGTTTATTTATAAGTTGAATTATTGAAGTATCCAATGATCGAAGTGTAGACATATAGTTAGTAATCGAGGTATAAATAACGAACCTCCACACTATATTAATATTCCCTCTCAAAGTTCACGCGAGTAGACGAACGTGGCTGTTACGAGGTTTGCCGTCTAGATCACGTGGAAGTGCTCTAGGCTCTCGAAGTGGTTTATAACTAGGCGTCAAGCAGGGACTTAAAGTAATGACAATGATGATATGCAATTCGTAACTAATAGTAGAGTGTACTAAATGATTGATCTTGAGCACGAAGCTCTATACAGAGGAAATCCATCTTGATTATATAGACCTTCATGCCTATGGCTAGTCAGGACCGCGCAGCGGTCCATAACGTGACTTAATCACGTTACCTTGGTTTAGTCATGTGACGCGGTGTAGAAGATAGTCGTCGTAACAAATGGCTAGGCAAAAAGAAGTCATATTTATCCCTCTAATGATCTTACTTTACCGATAACCATTGATACCTAGTACTTGTCCGGATCTGATCCTCAGACCACCTAAATCGTATACTAATCCCGAGTAATCGTATCATGTGTGGACATGGTTAATGTACCTGAGGTTTCTTATATAATAAAGGTGGGAGGAAAGCAGGGATTTCCGTCACACATATATAGAAAATCTTTTATTAATATTTTTATATTTTAAAAAAGTTTTAATTAATAGGATTTCTATAAATTGTTTGCTAAAATAATTTAATTTATTCGATCAATTATAATATAAATATTTGAAAAAAATTATAATTTATTTTTAATAATTTTTATTGAAAAGTTATTCAAGATTTTCGATTTTTTTTAAATTTATATATAAATCCTATACAAATTGAAAATCATGGTTTCAATCATTTATATCTCAATCAATATTTATATAATCAATCTAGAATCAAAATTCAATTGATTTAATTGATTAATTGTTGAGATATTAATAGCTAAAAATCGTTATTTTTGGTGTAAAAAGATGGTCCAAAACAGGGGTGGTCCAAAAGGGGGTACTAGACTTAGAGCAAAGCAAGGTCCGCGGCAGAGTTAGTATCATAAAACTGAGGCAGAACAGTATTTATTGCTGTCAACATGGCACTTTGTTTTCGAGTTGAGACGTTTCTGCTTTCTACCTAGGTATTTGTTGCTTTTCGTTCTAGCTATTATTTATGTATTTATTTACTTTTCCCCTAAGCGAGATTCCTCCTCAAATTCATCGCGCTTTTTCCAACTTCCCTCAAAAACAACACCTCAAAACCAACAAACAAACATCTTCAAATCCACACACGTTGTATTCATTTCCTTCCCTCCTCACATCTCACAAAGTCACACGCTAAGCTGAATCCTACAAAACTGAAGCAAAAAGTGAAAAAGTGAAAAAGTGAAAATAATAAATATCTCGTGCAGGGTTTGAACCTGCGATCTTCTGTGTCCTCTTGAAATCATAAATCTATATATAATTTGTGATTTTTGTGAGACAGATGGCATGACCACTAGCCCAACGAGATTGATTTTCTTTTTTGACTAGGCTTTTTTTGCTTGGTTTGATGGGTTGGAGGAGGGGTTTTGGCTTAATTATAGAGGAGGTAGGTAGATTGGGGAAAGGTGAAAAGGTGAAGTGGTGAGAGGTGAGCTGAGCTGAATTGGGGGTAGGATGAGATGTGGGGTGGATGGGGAAGGGTTTGCTTATAGATTTGGATTTGGATTTGAATTTGGATTTGGATGATTTATCTGAGGAGAAGCTGTGGTTGTGGGATTTCTTTGAGGAGTCGGGTATTCGGGAGATTTTGGGATAGAGACGATGATAGTCAAGTGTGCTGAGCGTGCGCGAAGAGTAACGCGATTTGTCTGTTCTGTCTATGAGCTTGTGATTCAAACATGTTGCCTCCCAGCAGCTCTATCACAACAACATATATCATACACTTTCATTCTTTTTCTACAATTACCACCTGAGTTTGTCTCGTTCAAGTCATCTGGGTTCCTTTACACCGACGACATTGGCGCAATAAGTGGGTGTCACCACCTTGCTAACCATTAGAAGAGTTGCGAAAGCGCATTAAGCTTGCTTTCCGCCAGACACAATGGCGCGTTTGCTGATGCTCTAGCTTTTTGTATCTTCTAAAGCAATATCATTATCATCTCAGCATTCATGTAAGATCTTATAAAGCCATCACGCGCTCTGCCATATACATTTTTTGGTGTGTTGACTTATCCAACTGGTTTTTTATTCATTATTATGATATTCTGTTGCAGAAAAGCTAGACTAGTTACTTCAACAACAACTTTTCACCCAGCTACTAATTTCCTCGAAGAGGTTATAATAACCCATTATTTCAACATATTGTTATTCTCAAGAATGATATATGGAATTCCACTCTCTTCACAACATCTGTTTATCTCTGCCATAACTGCCCCTCATCACAATACATACCATAAACACGAATATTGCAAAATTCTAGTATCCAAAACCTCAACTCCAATAAAAAGATTTAACATCCTTTCCAAAAATCTCTCCTATACACACCAAGAAGTTTCCACTCATACAAATTATCAATCTGAACCTCCCATTTACCCTCCCGACCATAAAGTTCATATGCCAAACTCCATTCGCAAAGCTTTAACTCATTCATATACACCAGCAGCAAGTCTAAGCTGCTTAAAAGACCTATAACTATTAAGGTATACAATAACATCTCCCCGTATCAAATTGAAAGTATTCAATTTTCTAATTACTCTAGAGATATTCCCAGCTCTGCCGTTGTAATTATGTGGCTATATTAAAGTAGTATTTAGATGCTTTGATAAGAATTACAATATTAGAGACGAAAGCAGTATAACTTGTAATCGGTAAGTATTTCTAATTATGAGAGCTCTAATAATTACCCACCTGGAGCTGATTCCGACTGGAAGGAATTTAGATTGGATGATTATTTGAATATTTTTATTTGTTTTCGCGATGGTTAAGATGGGATGTTGATAAAGTGGAGAAATTGAATTTTAGGGCTTGTTTCTGTATTTCTGTCTTTAGATCAATCGATTGTTGGGTATTTTGGGAGGCGACTTGTTTCTTTTGTTGAGCTGATGATCTCTTTTGGTGCATAGTTGGTTTGTTATGGATGATGGGTGGGTTGAGCTTCTTGACTTATCTGGGTAGTTTTGCTAGTATGATGATTGTTTGGATATTCTATACTTGCTTTTGGGGGGAAAGATAGGTGGTTCTGAATTACAGGACTAAAGTAAACTTTCGAAAGCGTACTGAGTATCGAGGGATGTCTAAATTTTTTCTTTTTTTCGGCTGAGAAGCTATGATGTTTGAGTACTCTACACAGAAAGGTGTTATTAGAACGTGAAATTCTGGAATCTGGAGGGAAGAGTTGTGCTTAAACATCTCCTCTGTCATGTATAAGGCAGTATTTCTACTCCAGCTCATTAGTACGTTTATCTGGGATTAAAGTCATATTTTTCAACAGTATCGAACTTTGATTGGAGCGCAGGTTGACCACATAAATCGCATTCTTGGATGCTTTAGGGTTATTAGTAATGCCAAAATACAGCTTCTTAATATTTTTTTATTTTTCTTTTGAGAAATTTGTATCTCAAATTTAGATCCAGAACTATCGTTGTTGCGAGTAACGAAAATTAGAAAAGAGTCCGGTGAATTTGATTAAACCAATTGTTCTAGAGTCATCGACCATTTTGAATTTTTAGTGATCCATTAACGTATTCCGAGGAATGCAGGTTTATTTGTGATAATTAAAGAGCTAAATTCTTTGAAAGTCAGATTTTTAGATGAGCTCTCGGGATAATCAATTTAGCGACCTAGAGAATATAAGTCATACTAGACACGTTTAAATAGGTTTCAATGATTGGCAGAATTCACAAGTGCACGTATGCACAGTTAGATGGGTATGATTATTGCTGCGCACTATTATTTAAAGTCCAAATTATTCTTGGAAATATTAATATCTTCATCTCTGAAAAAATCCATGCTCGACCATTATTATAGAATTGTCCAATCATAGATGATTACGGCACCATTCTTTCCCATTCAATGACATCCTACGCTACCGACAATCCCAAACAAAACACTTCACTCCTCTGCCGATGTGAAATTTAAACAAGGTTCACTAGACCGCAAAGGCTCCTCTCGAATCCCACACTAGCAGTCAAATCTCAACCTACTGAGCACCAAATTAAGTCCTATACACACCGCGAAGTCGCCTTGCATAAGAGGTATTTCTTCTAATTGGATAAACTTCAGAACAACCCATAACTTGATACTCCATAGTCCAGTCCTGAAACACTAAACCATTAACAGCAGCAGCCAGCTTTAGCTGCTGAAAACTATCGTGATCATCGGTGTGAACTAGAATACTAAGCTCAGTTAAAGGGGATGTATTTAAAATTTCCATTAACCTCTTCATACTTTCTACATGTTGCTGATAAACTTCCCGCGAGCTACCCTGAGAGGGCACCATCAGGTTGATTTGAATATTGGTTATTGCTGGTGCATATTCTGGGAGAACTTTCATTAATGCCATCATATCGATGGGAGGGTCGGCGATGAAGTCTGGTCGAATGACTAGCTTCTTTGAATCGCCATTTTCCTTGAGGGAGAGTGCATAGTGCTTTTGGATGCACTCGAAATCGATTCTTGCGGCTACCTTTTTCGCGTTTTCCTCAATGTTCTTCTTTGCGGCTAACTTCCTCTCTTCAGCTTGTTTCTTTTCGGGATTATTCTTCAACAATGCTGTCTGTTTGTCGGGCTTATGGTCTGCTTCCTTTTTTGCGGGAATTTGCTTCTTCCTAACGATCTTGTCCTGTTCGAGTTTTACTGACATAGGAACCAATTTAGGTTGGCCGCGACTATTTTTGCAACCCATAATGATTAATGCGAGTCTTTGTGGTGAAAATGGAATTTTAAAAGTAAGTAAAAGTCTAAATATCCGAAAGATCCGTATGTTTTGATTAAAATTAAAAATAGAGATATTAAAGCTTCTCCTGTGTATGAATTCTTGTCTTTATTGATTAGATTAAGGAATTCAGTACCTTTGTAAAATAAAATCAAAGTGAAGTACTTGTTTGCTGGAACTGCTTGTTGTTTAAGTGGAAGGTGTTATTGTTGATTGTTGCAAGGAAGATGTTTGTAATGAAGATGATTAGGATTCTGGGTGCTGAGAGGAGTCTTTAAGTATGCATGCTGTCGTGTTGATACGGCAGCTCCTATGTTTTGTTGATGCTAGCGAGCAATTCCTTCTCAGCATCAGACAAGTCTCGTAATTAGGCCATATCAACTATAGGTTATTGAATCAATCGCAGCTAAAACATCATACTATGGTGTGGTTTGGTCTCTAGATCGGTAGGAACATGACACATCCTTATTTGGAAATTAATTTCTATATAGAATCAGCTTTCACAAGAAGCTGTACATGCCTTTGTAATTAGTCACTGTCATACAATGCTATTACTTGGTTGTAGTATATTGAGTCCCTGAGAATTATTCATTAGTCAATTCTCGCTTCCGTACTCATCAACCTTCCACTCCACCAAATCCACTAGTGGAATAGTGGAAAATAATCTCTCGAAACAGGCGCAATTCCTTATTCAGCTCATGATTTACAGCAAGTTCTACTTGCGGATCGAATTTCTTCATCAACAGCAGGATTTATTGGCTAATCCAGCAGCATGCTTAGTGAAACAAACTTCATCTAGCCTGGCAGACTCTCAAGCACCTAAATATCTACAGCCTTAATTCAACAGGATAATTTTATTACTGTACTATCTATCGTTCCCGCGGTTTTGATATACATTGCATCCCCAAATCAGCCTTACAAATGCGATATAAGTGAGCATAGTATCGCATTATTTTATGGCTATAGAGAGACATCAATATCTAGTTTAGTCCTTGACTTACTGAAGGAGTATGAATGAAATTTGATGACCGAGTAGTACCAGCTTTAAATTTCCAAATCACTCTGAATATGCAAAGTTTTAGCGGAGTTTTGAGGTAGCTTCGGCAAGCTTTTAGGATAACGTATTTTTTTTTTACCTCTCTGCTGAAATAATAGCAAAAGTTTGCATGGATTTTAGTTCATGTTCTCACAGCATCCGACCTGCATTGATTTTTCTTAGCCTGAAGGCTTCATTTACCCCCCTTAAAACCCTTTAACTCTTTAGTACGAGCAAGTATTCTATAGCATCCTTCTATATAATATACATTTTTAGTTTCGTATTCTTGCTTATCAAGTAGTAGTTTAAAGGATACGGATCGGTGAATTATTGGCCATAAAAATTTCTCTAGTCACGGTTTGTTGACGGGACATCAGTTTCAAGTAATTATTTAATTTTTTCTAACAAACGATGCTAGCTTTGTAAAACGGGAAATCCGTCTACCATTTCCTCCCAAAATATGCCATACCCACAAAAATCTCTATCAATACCCAAAGCACTGTCCTCCCAACTCGACTTCCCATTTCTACATCACAACTCCTTGTGAACAAGAAACTCTTCCTTGTAGATACATGCTAGTCTATAATCCCACTTACTCCCAATATCGACATTGAATCTACCCTTAACATGAAGAACCTCTGTAACCATTGTCCAATCTTTAAAATTCAAACCAAAAGCTGCTGCTGCTAGTTTCATCTGGGCAAAGTTGTGTGCCCTGTTAAGGGAGACCACGAACTGAAACTCGTCGATATCAAACTTGTTTAGACAATTAATTGTCTTCATCATGTTTACGACTCTTTCTCTATAGATCGCGGGAGAGCCGTGATTTGTAGGTGCAACGAGTCGAAATTCAACCTTGGTGATAAGTTCCGCGTACTTCGGAAGCACGGTGAGAAAGTTGACATCATTTGCAATATCTTTTGGATAAATGATGTCAAACTCGACGAATAGCTTGACTGTACCAGTATCAATGTCTTTTATTACCTTAAGGGCAGAGTGCTTTGGTAAAGTATCGTAATTGAAGTTGAAAGCGTGCTGACGCGTCAGAGCCTTCTGCTGTGCACGTGACAACTGCTGAACACTGGCTTGCTCTTTCTTTTGCTCAGCAAGTAGCTTGTCAGCTGCTTTCTTATTGGAATATGCTTGAGCTGCACGAATAGCTGGTGCTTGGCCACGAGCGTTCTTACTTCCCATTTTGAAAGTTGTTGAAGTGTTTGAATAGATTAGAGAGTGTATGTAATAACGACCGCTAGAGAGATCGTGAAGAAAGGATTTATTGAAGACCTTGAGGGTCAAATAATTTTCAATGTTTGATGTAGATGCTGACAGTCAATCTAGATGTATAGAAGATGTCTTATAAATGTATTCTGGAACCTGGGGACAAGATATTTCTTATATCCTAATTCTGAGGTCATCGCAAAATCCCTTATTTCTCGCTAAGTGTACACATGCGTCCACGGCTGTTAGCCGCAAGTTTTGCAGCTGTATACCAAAATCTCGAATTTGGCTAGTGGCAATAGTTACGATATGCTACGGTACATAAAATCACGCTAGTGGCTGTTAGTCCTATACAAACGACAATGAAAATGTCTTTGATATTGGTTTGGCGATATTGCGCAATGCCGAGTACTCTTTGGTGTGACTAATATTTGATAAGATATTTCGCACGGTATGATTGGTAACCTTTCCCCCGTACTCTTATAATATTTGAATGTGGCCCACAACAAACTTTCATGTTTCGCTACCTATGCTAACATCACGAGCCCCTTTTAAGCTCGCTAAATCTACGAATCAGAAAAAACTGTTATTTATTTTTTGCAGAAACAAGAAACATTATGTGAAACTATTTTGAATCATTTGATCTAAAATTTGATCTACTAGGGATGTCCGCGATTTCCGGGGGATGTTACAAGTCAATTGCATGCAACTTCTTTAATGGGAAATCATACTAACCAATTATGTTGGGTTTCTTGAGACTAGAAAGAGCTTCAGATTGAATTGATTGATTCTCTAGCTAAGCAGTTAAGCTGCGAGTATATATTCAAAAAATGAAGGAATAAGGTTAGGTATTCAGCCTTCGGAATTAAAGTGCTTTGAAATCAAAATATTGAAAGCAAACAAATAGTATACCAAAAAGGAAAGAATGAATTAAAAGTTGAGTTTTGTTTGCTCCTTATATGCATCATGCAATATATATGCATATGCTGCCAAGATCCCAGGAGGTCAACAAATTACCTTACAAAACTAGCATCTTCCAACACCTCTCAAATCCTTTGGGTTCTTTAAATCTTCCGTCAAATGTTAATCCGGTACTATTGAATATGAATTCACATATGATTCAAATATTCAAACTAATTACTATCATCGGTTAAGTTCATCTCGCCTAGAAGAAGCAAAAAGGAAATGCGTTGACAACAAAAACATTACTGCAAGTCTTTTCCCTATAACACCCTCCAGGGTTCAATTCCCCAACTTGGTGAACATGTAAGCTTTAGCTATTAGTAAAAAGTCACATCAAAATCCTATTGTCAAAATAATATAATGAGCGAAGAACTTTTTCCCTCTGGGTGGACACGATCACATCTGCCTGCACCGCATCTGACGATATCGGTAAGCTAGCCGCTTTAGAATCTGAATATCTCAGATTTGATAAAGTTCATTTGGCAGCTTCTACTTTTCCAAACATAAGATTACCATCAGCTGACTCTTTATTGACAAATACGGATGTTTTATCCAGGATCTTTGAATTGAGTTGGAACGATACAAGTCCCCTAACAGATGCTACCAAATAGTTATGAGAGAAAAGTATCTCCTAGAGTAACTATTCTACAAGAATGGACAAGATCCATCCCCACTTACGAGATGTATGGCTAATCGAAGTGGCAGTTACAAGAACAATTGCGCTTTAACAATAAGATTAGATACTCGTTGAATATGTACACCGAAATGAAGAAAAAAAGTATATACATATAATATAAATTATCCTTTCAATTGAGAAGAAATCAAGACTCGACTTTTCCATGAACTTGTTCTGTTCGTCCTTCTATACCTGGTACGTGACAAGGATTGCTAGAGTCGTACGCTATACTCATTACATTTGCTCGAACCCAATCAGCAGCTTTCGCATCCTCCAAAATTAAAGATTGGCGTGATTCAGCCCTTGCTTCTCCTTGATCTTTGGTGCCAGCTGCCATGAATGATCTGCGCCATATCCATAGCAAATAGGAAAGTATTAGAACAGCAGCCACCGCTCCGATGGTAGCTCCGGCTATCACGCCGGTGCTTGCACCATGGTGTATATTATTAGTCGGTGAGGAGACTAAAGCAGTTGAGTTGGATGTGATACCGCCCGTAGTATTTGCATTGCTAGAGTTATCAGTACCTGTACCCAGTAAAGTTTGATTGAAGAGCGAGGCGACATCCGCATTTGTAAAATCCTTCGAAGGTCGTGTAATCTGTGCAAAGCCACTGGAACTGCTCATGAATCAGTAAATATAAATGAAATTCGTTTTGGTACTCCTTTGAACACATACTTTCCACCAATGGCATCAGTAATGTTACCAGGGACAATATAACTATTAGCGTCGTGATGGAACGCCGAGGTCCATGATAGCGCATACATGTCGTATATAGCCACCCCTGAACTCTCCCAATCACAATAGGAAGAATACTTCTTTTGGGCGCCACCAACCGTTAGCATCTGTCGATTTCCGACTAGATGGCATGTGTGCCCAAAACGAGGGCTTCCTGGCACAGCCTCATAGACCTGGATCCATTTGAACGAAGGTAATGAGAGCACAAATACATCGTCATAGGATACTGAATCTCCATCTTGTCCACCATAAAGATATATATTGTAACTCGAATTGTCAGGAGCAGCGGCGACGACAGTGCACGAATCTATTCTTCTTGGGGGTAAATTTCCCGATGCCTGCTGAGTGTACCAGGTCCCATTTTTCCCGTCATACACACTGTTGATATCAAATATGTTGATTTGATCCATTGGAGCCTAGTTAAATCTAGTCAGACGGATTTTTATGCCTTGGGCTTGCTCTAACCTACCAGTGTGCCGAGTTCATTTGATAAATTACCTGCCTGACGATACATGCCACCAAATTGTATTAGTATACCTTTGCCATTTTCTCCTATTCCAGGGATATACTGTAAAATACCTCCTGTTCTGGAATTTGTATCGATGGCAGAAGTAGAGATATTTCTCGTCGTATTGTCGGTCATGTTTAGCATAACCATACCCTCTAGTGGCACCGAGCTTCCTTCGGGGATCGAGGTAGTTTCTGTGCTTGATCCAGGATTTATCTCGCCATTAAAGTAAAACCCGAGACCTTGATCCGGCACATCAGCACTTGATCCGGAGCTGGGCTTTTCGGGTATCGTAGAATCTACATTAATCGAATCCCACTGATTCTGCGTTACATCGTATGATAAAAGTGTTTGGTTTGGTGATGTGGGATCCGGATATCCATAAAAGCTAGTATTCATGCTTTGCTCAGTTCCACCATATAGATATATCTGATTTCCACCAGGAGATCCTGAAAAAAGAGCGCCTTTAAGCACTACGGACGAGAAGGCATTTGACGATTCGGAATCTGGAACAAAAACCTGTTCTGATACCAGTGGCAGACTTGCGGAGGCCATTGTCCAATTCCAGGACTCGTTCATCCCAACACTGATCATATAGTTGTCTACACCAGTTTTATTAGCTAGCCATCGAGTTGAAAGCAATTAACTTACTTGTACCCATAGTGACATTACCGGTTCTAGCACCATGCTTGTTAGATTCAACGAATGTTTCATAACCCCCGTAGATATACAGGATATCGTTCTTCATTATCGACGAATGATACCATCTTTGGCACATGTTTTTGACGGGATCCAGCCCTGATGGAATGTTGTTCTGCGCACGACGCAGCATTTCGACAGCGTTCATCCCATTCCCCCTTTGCATTTTATCATTCTTGTAAACCAGGCTTTCCGTGAAGTTTCGTCGCGAATTTCGCCAAATATCCAGGTTTGTCTCTATGCTCATCGACTTTACAATGCCCTTCAAGCTCGTCTTTTCGAGTCAGTGGCCACGAAGATATATGAATGCGCAATCTGTCGAGGTCCTCAAAGTTTGCAAGCGCATGAATCAGTAGAGGGTTCAATATCAAGGCGAGAAATAACTTGTGTCAAGAATCTGGAACTTGAGGAATTTCGCGAACAAACCGGATTTCTATATAATGCGAGGAAAGATTTAAACACCAGATGAAAGGAGGCGGGAGCCCGGTACTCCATCTTGCTAGATAAAGAGACCTAGACTTCCTTAAGATTTCAAGCCAAAAGTATCCAAACCCGATACACGTGGGATATTGCAAAAGACGCAAGGAAAATACCAAATATCATTTGCTTGCCCAATCAATTCTTACATAGAGCTTACAAGCATCCATGACGGGGTCATCACATATGTTGTTCCTGCATAGCAAAGGATTCAGAGGTTGCATTTGGTGGGTAGAAGGATTGCGGCTATCTCCTCTTTCTTAGAATAGTACCGAGGAGTTGTGTGAACGGAAGTGGAACTAGATTATTTATACATCAGCCCCCAAATGAGGTTCGAAGGATCGTGAAATACGGAAGACTGAAAAAGCCACACGCGCCATTTGATCATGAATCACGTGTGTTACGTCTAACAAATGCAACAAATGCACGGACCCATCAACCACAACATGGACTTCAACACAATCTCAACAACAACCAGCAAACCACATATCTTAGTCCTAAACCATCATGGCAGTTATCCACGATATCGAGGCTATTGTGTCCTTATTAATCCCTTACCAAGTGTCTAATCAAACACTGCTTTATATCGATACATCTAGTCTATCTGTTTTGCTTCCTTTTCCATCTGTATCGGTCCCAAAATGTCAACCCTTTGACAGGCATATCGCTATTGCTATCCTTAGGAAGATATGCCTCAATCTCTTCTCTCATCTGTTCATTGATATTACTTGCAAACCGCTCATCAATACCTATTGGCCTGTAGCCAGGATCTAAAGCTAAGAGATACTTAACTATTTCAAGCTTTCCGTAATAGATGGCCCAATCTAAGACCCGCCTTTGGGCAGATTGCGTGTCAATGCTGGAGCTACCATATTCGGCCAGTACCATAATTATGTGCACATTTCCTATCCTTGCGGCATACATCAAAGCATTGTTGCCATTGGCGTCTTTGATGCCTTCATCAGCACCTTGTTCGAGCAAGCATCTTACCCCTCGATCATAGCCCTTTAGACATGCAATCATTAAGGCTGTGTGTTTTGAACTTCCAGCTCGGAAATTGATATCGGCGCCAGCCTGAACTAGTAATTCTATCACATGTGTGTTGTGGGCAATTCCTTTGTCAAAATAAACTGCTGCTATCAATGGTGTTTCTCCATATTTCCTGTCTTTGAAGTCCCAGTTGCATGAGTCAACAACTGCTTCATACTGTATCAACAGTTTTACAGAAAATACACAGTTCTGGCGTGAGGCGATATAGAGAGGGGTCAGTCCATGTGCATTTCGAACCTCTGTAGCTGCACCACGGCTTAATAAGTATTGAAGAATATGGGAATTTGAGGGTATTTGAGCAGCTCCATGTAGTGGTGTACATTTCAAATCACCTGATACCGAGTTGATGTCTGCATCATTCTCAACTAGCAGCTTGACGACGTCGAGCGATGCCTCATATTGACCGGCGGCCGCAAACAGGGGCGTACATCCTGCTTCGTCACATTGGTTCGGATTGGCGCCGTAGGCTAGCAAGCACTTTACAGCAACTTTAGAACCCCATTTAGCGGCAAGTACCAGAGCGGTGTCGCCATTCTGAGCAAGCCTGTCGAGACAAAAGTCGCCTGATTTGATAAGTGTCTCAACCCTTTTCGAGGCTTGGTTTCGTATAGCATCTATTAGTTCCTCATGTCCTAGAGGAGTTGTCCGTATCGACTTCATAATTGCTCCTTGAATTTGTGGATATGCAGTACCCTGACTTGTAGCGGGGAATTTTGCTAGTCGAGAGTGATCTGTGATACACGGAACTTCTACCTCCCTTGTCCCGATCCCAAGCACTGCCGAGTCTATAAAACTATTAGCGGTTTTGCACTGTACGGAACACAATATTAGAAAATAGTGAAGGAAGAACTATTGAAATCTACTCACCAGGAGGTACCATCATCTTTTCTATCCCTTGCCTTGCCCATGTTCCATCAGGCATCTAATGCATAGGTGAGCCATTGGTTATCTACATCGGAGAATTTTACTAACTTCAACCAGAGTTTTAGTTCGGATGGTCTCGTAGACTGATAGTATTGCAATATCTGGCGCCGTGGATAAAAAGTGGCAGAAATCAGAATTCAATTCGTTTAGCTCATGAGACCGGAAAGATATTTGCCGGATTAATGGAGCTGTGGCATCGTGCTTGACGAGCTCGAGGAGAGCCTCCGTGTCTAATCCTCGATGAGGTGTACCCAAAAATATCATCAACGGAATCGACGGCATTATCTTCCATCGCCCTAGCATCGCCTAGGTAGATTTTGTGAACGATGACATCATAACCTATGGATATCTGCATACCTTTTTGATCACTAACCCTCCCAAACTATGCCCGATAAATACAAGTGGTCGATCCTGCTATGGTCAATCATATCCATCAACCGTGGGTGTGACTATCTTACTGATGCATGTCTGCGGATCTCTTCCACATCACTTCGGAAACGAGAACTGAACACTGAGACAACGGCCTCTGACTGACTGCCTTTCAAGTGAGAGTCAAACCCATAGCTCATGATCCTTGCATTGGGAAAGTCCACAGCTAGTTTATCTCGTAGCCACATATGTGTTGGCTCTGATGCCCATGAACCAAAGGCGTTTCCAGCTAGTCCTGTGACCGCAATAATGCTTTTACCATCAATTAGCAAGAAAAGGCATGATGGTGGAGAAACTTACTCAATAGCTACTGGTTCTTGTGGCTCATTCAAAGGAGTAAACCCATAAAATGTTTGGTCAACGACAACTCTATCTCCCCCATGGCCTTTCAGAGCCGGCAATGGAATCGATGGATTCCAACCGGGTGGTGGTATAAAGTCTACCGTAGCCACCTTTAATTCATTCGGCAGACTATCGATAAGTGGTGCTACAGATCTAGCAACCAGTCGCATGTTCGCTTCTGGATCAAATTGCAGATAATTATGGACATTTTCGAGCGTTGTATCATGGGGTAGTCCTTCTACCCGGTACCCGGTTCGACCCATCGTTCAGTCGAATTTTTTTTAAAAAAAAAATGATACTAGAAGACCATTTGGGTGCTAACGATTGTTGATGATGTTGATGTCGGTTGAAACAAGTGATTTCGATGGCAACTTGTCGTCACTGGAATTATTTCTGTCTGGGATCAGTCCCCTGTAAGTGAGACGCCAAAAATTCGAACACACTCCTCCTTCCGATGTCAGCACCTCATACATGCGACACGCAAAACCCGGAAAATTTCCTAATCCAGTTACAGTTGTCGTTATCGTTAATATTACCACGTGGTATTTGGCAAGGATCAAGCTGACAAGGTATCACAATGAGGAATAAACACATTTCCGTATGCAGGTTCTGATGGCATACATTAGCGCTTAATCTACTCCCTCTTCTTAAATGAAACATCGTTAGCTGTGGATACACACGCAGTCAGACCAAGGTACCTTAATCCGGATATCACTAACCCTACTTGTGACATCTTATCACCTGAAGGTGTTGCCACAATTCCTCTTGGATGACGTGATGAGTTATCAATATTCCAAAGAGTTCCTAAGAGATTATGATTACATCTCCTATCTTAATCAGTTTCAAATTTGATTGTTTGCAATTAGTCATTCCAATTACCACCACATTAACTTTTCATCCTCGGCAATTAATGATTACAGAGATTAGTTCATAGGGCTGGAAATACTATTTTAGTATCAGGACATTATCGCCGAAAGAAGTAATTGCTCGCATCTAACGAGGCAGTCCTCATTGCTACACTAAGTAGACGACGGCATTTCCCGTTCTTTCTGGATCAATATATCACAGCCACTGTACTTTAGCTTGCAACCATTCATTACAAGTATGGCCTTGTGGGTATAAAACGAGATATTTTCACGGAAGTTTGCGTCTTGTCATCAAAAACGTGGTTATTATCTATTTCGGGCCGACCCGCTGGAAGTTTTAAGCTGTGTCGTGATTGTGTTTTACATTAACACTGTCCCATTTTTTCTCCCGCTTTCACTATACAGTCACTGCATTCAACATTACTTCCTATCAGCTCCGTTTGTGTCACATTCAGATACAAATCAGACATCTATGCAAATCAAGCAATATCTAGTTTACCCCTTATCGTATTAGTTGAGAAGAAAATGGCTCATTTCAATCTCACTCTACTAATATTCTATAAGCATCTTCACCACTTCGCGGGCTATCAGAAACCAAACATGCAAATAAAAGTCTCCAACACATTTCCAAATCGGAAAATCAAATGCATACACACATTCACGCCATCAACTCAAACCCAGATATCGATCATCTCGCCTACAGCAAATGTATACATAAACACTAACCAACCACGACATTATCTCACAAACCCTCAATTAAAATCCAAATAATCCAATCCAATCCATTCAACTAACTCAATCCAT